TAACTAAAAGCAAAACGGAACAAAACGTTTTTCTTGTGACTTTCGTAAGATTAATGAGAAGATAGTTAGGGACAGTTTTCCAATGACATACATCATTCGTGACACAAAACGGACAATACGAGTTTTGTTGCGTGCCATTTGGCATAACAAATTCTCCGATGGTATTTTGCCGTTATATTCTAGCGACTTTTCAAGAGTTTCTGGCTGATGGAAGAGTCCTTATATACACGGATGACCTCGTAATTCCTTCCCAGGATAAGATTGAGAGTCAGGAAAAGTTGGAAAAAGTATTAAAGCACGCTAGCGAAACCGGTTTAAACATTAGGTGGGAGAAATGCCAGAGTTTGAAAAAACGGATAAATTTTTTGGGTTTTTGGGTTGGTTCGGAAGGAAAAACTAAGGCAGAAAATAATTTCCCAATACCGGCAAGCAAAAAAGAGTTTCAACGATTCTTAGGTTTATCGTAATTTTGCAGATGTTTTATTAAGCTGGATGAAAATCAGCTATTGGCTATTCAACAGCTAAAACGCGCGTTGGTGGGTGCGCCGGCTTTGAAACTTTTTGCTCCCACTGCAGAGACAAAAATGGATACAGACGCAATTAAATTTGGCTACGGTACAGTTTTGTTGCAAATAGACCCGGAAGATCGTTTATTACATCCTGTCGAGTATATGAGCCGCAGAACAACGCCAACGGAATAGAAGTACAGAGCTTTCAACTAGAAGTACTTGCAGTTATAAAAGCACTGAAAAAATGACGAATCTACTTAAAGGACATTAAATTTAAAATAGCAAGCGATTGCAACGCGTTCGCAATGACGGTGAAAAAACAAGACGTACCTGACAGAACAATGTGGTGGAAAATGTACATACTTACAAGTAATGATAGAACTTTTTAAAAAGGTATCGATACTAGCACTCATTTAGAATATTTGCAATAAAAAGGTACGAGTAGTACTTCCAAGTATTTTTAAGACAAACGCGAAAAGTAAACAAATATCAGATTGCTTTGATTTTATGACATCTTGCTATGTGTAAATTGAATATACACTGCTTTTATTAGTTGAAATCTGATTTAACAATGATTTCTAAAGGAGTTTTTGAAATAAACTTTGCAACGAAGCGTTCTTGTTGCCCCGATGCTTCTTCTGCAATGATGGGGTATACTCGCCATGTTCAGGGTTCGTTACAATAAATTTGTATGTTTCGGGGCTCTGGTAGATCGTACTTTATCTAAATTCCTTAATTTCTATAAACATACTAGCGGTACCCCGGTGTGCTTCTCTACACCAAATACTGAGAAATATTGAAAAATGAATGAAAAATCCTGGAATTTTTCTATATGAAATTTTTTTTTGTTTACTATATTGCAGCCATGTTTATACTTGACTTAATTTATCCGAAGAAAAAATAAACACAGCACATCATAGCAAACACACAAAAAACAATTGTTTACTATGTTTTCGATTTTTCATGTATCTGCTGTTGTACCATATACGTGGTTCATGTGACAGACATACACTGTCATATACCATGAACCGCTGGACCGAATTCGGGCACACTTCACATAACTCATCTGCATGATAGTCCGAATATACCGTTTAAATTTGGTAGAATTCGTGCACTTAGTTTTTATATAAGATGGGAGGTGCCACGCCCCCTCCTCCAATACCGTACATTTTTCTCCATGAGTATGGAATTATTTCATATGTCTCTATATCAATTTCCAGTAATCTACCACAAATATTTCAAGAGATATACCAGATGAAAATTTTTGTTTGTATGGGTGGCGCCACGCCCCCTTTTCCGAATTCGGGGAAACTTAACACAAGTCATCTGCATAATAGCCTGAATATGCCGCATAAATTTGATTGAATTCGGTGAAGCCGTTCTCAAGTTATAAGCTCACACCAAAAACGTGTACTTATTTTTATACATAAAATACATATGCCACGTCCCCTTTTCCAAATTTAGGCAAGCTCTACATAAAATATCTGCTTGATGATCCGAATATGCTATATAAATTTGGTTGAATTCGGTGAGGCCGTTCTCAAGTTATAAGCTAACTCACTATTTTTATATATAAAATAGAGGCCCCACGCCCCCTTTTCCGAATTCAATAAAACTTCACATAAACCATCTGCATGATAGCCCGAATATGTCGCATAAATTTGGTTGAATTTGGTGAAGCCGTTCTCATGTTATATGATCACACCAAAAACGTTCACTTATTTTTATATTTTAGTTAGTATGGGTGGTGCCACGCCCCCTTTTCCGAATTCGGGAAAACTTCGCATAAACCGTCTGCATGATAGATCGAATATGCCACATAAATTTGGTTGAATTCGATGAAGCCGTTCTCAAGTTATGAGGTCACACCAAAAACGTGCACTTATTTTTATACATAAGATAACAAGAAAAAGATCACGATAGAAAACTCCTCTGGTGGTTGGGTAACGGCTCCTTGTTCCGTTACTAGCCTGTTATGGCATAGTGGCGTGGATTTAGTACTGGTGGGCAGCGCTCTGTTGACGCTGGTGGCTGGCGCGTTGCTTATGTCGGTAAATGGTGCTCAGGTCGCATCAGTTTGTAGCGCTCTCGGTAATGTCGGTGAGTCGCGCCGGTGAGTGGCGCTCTAACAACGTCGGTGAGTAGCGCTCTGGGGACGCCGGTATGTGGCGTTCTTGCAATGTAGGAGAGTTAAAGCGCGAACAGTCAGCGACGTAGCGTAAACGTAGGTTGACGCAGACACGATCTATCTTATGGGATTCGCATGTTATCGAAAACTCACCACGCTCTCTATCAACAGTAAAATTGATATGCTGCTACGTATGTCAACCCTACGTTTATGCTACGTCGTTGACTACCTGAGCTGTTACGCTCTGATTTCGTCAAGTGGCGCTCTGCTGGCGCCGGTAAGTATCGCTCCGGTGATGCCGGAGAGTAGCGCTCTAATCACGCCGTTGAGTGGTGCTCGGGTTGCGCCGATGAGTGGTGCTCTAGTGGTGCCGGAGGGTTGCGTTCTGGTCGCGGCAGTAATGTCGCCCTTCTTTCGCGACGATGGGTGACGTTCTAGCGATGTCGAGGGGTTGCGCTCTGGTCGCGCCAGTAATGTCGCTATCTGTTCGCTCCCGACTAAAATATGATGGTGAACATAACGAAGTTGTTTTACTCTGGGTGCCAGGTCACTCTGGAGTACCTGGTTATGACAAATCTGGTAATTTAGGCAGAGCTCAGACCAGGCTTTTCTCGGTCCGCAACCAGTTTTAGCACTCCCACCTTCGGGAATTGAAGCCACCATCGGAAACTGGGTGAATACTTCGCTCAGAAATGACTGAGAGGCATCGAGGGGATGCAGGTGGGCAAAACTCATATTTCCTTCAATCTCACAAGGTCTGTCTTATTTTTTGCTCTAACGTAGCAGACCATGCTGTAGACAACTTGCTGGACTACTGACTGGTCACTTCACGTGGCACAAACACCTGACTGTGATAGTCGTAAATCACAAGCCCATTTGCCCATCTTGCCTTGAAGAAGATGATACGGTGGAAGACTTTTTGTGCTTCTTGCTTGCTTAATTATTTGTCATCGATATTTTTAAACTCGTTCTTTTATCTATTGTCAGTTTCTGAATTAAAAGTTTGGCGTACAAATATTAGCAGTTTTGATGTTTTAAGTTTTGTGTTTTAAAAATGTGATATTTATTTTTCGCCTCACTTTAAAACTCGGAGCGATAAAAATAAAAATTACGCCGTTAACACAAATAAGCTACTTTAAGATAATGCAAATAACGATAGCGTTCGCAGTGCTCTTAAAAAATATAACTCTTCCTAGCGAGATAGTATTTTTATGTATTTATGAGCTCTATTTTTTAAAACCTACAAGTGTGTAATCACATTATTTTTATAGATAGAACACAAGAAAATATTTTACTTTTTTTTGCCACTCACATTGTTACTGTTATTACATTATATCGCTTTCAACTTAGTTCTAAGTATTGCGAATTCATTGAAAAAGCTATCCTCAAATCGAAATGACTTGTTCTTCCTGATTAGATTGTAACCAAAACTTACCTATTTTTAAGGGGGTCAAGCTTCTTGGTGCTGTTATCACACGTGATGAAGTGCTCTGGATCAGGGGCTGGCGATGGCTCAAGACCGACCATACGTGGCGAAGAATCACACCCTGCGAGAGGTGCCCCTGCTTTTACTGAATATGGGGGATCTAGAGAGAACAACTCGATAAAATCCGTAAGTCCAGGTGTTAATCGGACCGTGCCTGCGGACTGAATGGCCCTACGTTAGTGTGTCTTTTTACGGTGTACTCCAGTCACGTGGCGCTGTCTGGTTTTATTAAGTCTTTCCGGGGTACCGCGCCTCTGCCTCGGATGACCTCTCTCATCCCCCTTAGTCGTGGATTCTATGGAAGAAACACAAATAACTGAAAAAACAATAAAATCTCTGTGCCTTCTAACAGTGGGCAACAGTCAGCAGTCTCAGAAGTGCACGCGATGCCCAACGAGATTGCTGAACAAACGGCGATCGCAGCGGATGAACTGGGTGCAAATCCAAACGGCCAAGGCGATCAACTCTCCCGGGACGCTGTAATGGACGAAGTGGACTTTTATCCAAACGGCCTTCTCAGCAACCCGGTGGCCATGGATGTCGATATTGCCAACATGGGCTCTGGTTCAAATGCCAACGGCATCCAAATACCCACAGATGAGGAGTAGGCGCTCTTATCGCCACAGCAGGAGGAAGCTAGTACTCCTAAAAGAAAACTATAGGAGCAGGTAAAAAGCGCTACAAATTCTATCTCACCAGAGGTATCAGCGAAAGCGATGCCAAACGGCTAGCCATTATTCCAATGGCAAAAGGAAAGGCCAAACTGGCTTTGCTGGCTGGCACAAAGCTTAAGAGGAACCGAACGGTGAACCTTACATCTTCCCCGGTGGAGAACTCTCCCAAACGGAAGCCAGGTATAGCTGACAAAAGGGCCCATATGGGGCCAAAGGAACCTAGTGCCAAGGCAACTTTTTCCGATGTCACAAAGGCGCCGACCTGTCAGGCGGACATTGGAAATGGGGTAAGGTTAGGGATACTCCCTAAAGGGTACCCTAAAACACTTTGGTACTTAGACCAACTACAGGCCATTCAAGCGGCCATCGTGGAGGAGGTGTGGCGACAGCGAAAGGGCTGTTGCGGTTGCACCTTCCGCCCGGGATGGATGTCAGTTGGCTGCGGAGACGCTGAAAAGCTGGAGTGGCTGCGCAAGGTATCCCAAACCCTGAAACCCTGGAAGGGCGCGGAAATTGTGGCAATGAATGCCACTGACGTGCCCAAACCCAGTGTCTATATTGGGTACTTTCCGGAGCCATCAATCACTCCAGTGGACAGTATCCTTGGCCTTGTCGAGGATCAGAACCGAGGACTGCGGGTAGGTAGTCGGAGGGTGCTCAACAGGGTACAGAAAAGATCCACCACTGGGCTCAATCTAACGGTCGACCGCACTCAGCGGAGACACTTGACAGACTGGGATACCTAGTCAATTATGGCTATGGCAGGGTGCGCATCCATAAAAAAGGGAATACGAATGAGTCGTCAGACCCGAAGGGTACCCAACCTGCTAAAGCCAGTTCCTCCTCCACTGCACAAAGTGCTCGCATCGAAGAGGGACCTTGTGGTTCCAAGGACGCACCCAAGGCACTACAAAGGTTACCTTCGTAGCAGCCAGGGCCAGTGGAGAAGGAAAAATAACCTGTTCAGGAGTCCATAGAGCGACCCTGCTGCTCAAAAAGTGCCTGCAAGTGAACCTCCATCATGCAAAGGCGGCCTCTGACGTCTTATGCAAGAGGTTCTAAACAGAACTCTTGGATGTCGCATACATCCAAGAACCGCGGGTTTCGCCGGGGCTATTAAAGGCCTAAACGACTGTGATGTTAAGATAGTTTACAACACCACACACTGCAGGCCCAGAGCGGCCATATAACTATGTAACAACATGACTTTTGCTCCCATTTCAGAGTTGACACAACAGGACCTAGCTGCTGTATGGACTAAAGTACCCACTCAAATGGGAGAACAAGAGGTCGTTCTCGCTTCAGTTTACCTCTCAGGCGACAGCTGCTAGATGCCCACAAGGGAAGTAATAGCCCTAGTGTTTAAAGATTTTAAGTTGATTAGCTGACATCTAGCGTTATAAGGAGGAATCGGATCAGTAAAATGTAAAGAGCGCAGGGCAAACCGAATAAACGTTTTTTGTACTCTTTCAAGTCTCCTTATATGGCAGTCAAAATATGGTCTCCAGATAAAGACAGCGTATTCTACTTGGAGCGCCCAAGTGAGGTAAACAGCAGTTTCAAGGTGTAAGGATCACTAAAATCTGAACTAAATCGGCGAATGAAAGCAAGCATGGAATATGACTTTACTATAGTGCAGTTTAAGTGGCTCTGAAACAGGAATTTAGAATCAAAAATCACACCGAGGTCGGATATTTCACACACTGTGCTTAGCCGGGAACTACCAATGTAATATGAGGTAGGGATAAGGGAACGTGGTTTAGTGAAAGAAACATGAAAGCACTTTTTTATATTCAAATGTAATTGGTTTTTACCACACCAGGAAGCAACATTAATAAGATTCGATTGGTGCTTATCAGAATTTAAACTACTTGAAACAATTGTGAACACTTTAAAGTCGTCAGCATATAAGGCAAAGTTCGAGAAATCCTCAAGGTTTGTCACGGTAGACCTACCAGTCATAAAGCCATGGTGGTTAGTTGAAATTAATCGCTTAGTCGCAAAATACAACTTTTGCTTAACAATGGATTCAAACAATTTCGAAACCGTTGTCAATTTGGAAATTGGCCGATAGTTGGCAACGTTGTTCTTGTTACCACTTTTGAAAATAGGAGTGATAGAAGTGACCTTCCAGGCATCAATAAAAATACCACACTCCAGTGACTTGTTAAAAATTAATAAGAGCGGGTACGCAAATGTGGAACAATTCTTTAAGAGGTAAGAGGATAAGCCATCTGCGTCAGTCTGGGAAGAGGATTTGATATGCGAAATGCCATCAACAACATCATCGAGCGTTAAGGTGAGTGTACCAAAATTAAGTGGGGATTTGATACTATCCTCCGACATAAGGTCATTAACTAGAACCGAGTCAGGTTCAATGTTTGAGCTAAAGAAGTCAGCGAAAAGGTTAGCCGCCTCCGAAGAGGAGTACGCATGGTTTTCATTATGGAAAACCTCCGACGGAATGTTAGAGCACGATTTCTGGGAGTTAACATAACGCCAGAAGGCCTTGGGATTCGATTTTATGTCGGCTTCGAATTTAAGAACATACCTTCTGTGTAGAGATTTACTAAGGGCTTTGAACTCACTCGAATGATGCCAAACTTCATCCCTATGAAATACGGAATTGAATTTTTTGAAAAATTTGTTTCTCAAATTTTTAATTTTTTTCAACTCTTCGGTATACCACGGAATTTTGTACCAACTCTTTTTAACTAGCGGAATATTATTCATGCAAATATCATATATCTTAAGTTTAAAAGCATTAAAACATTCATTTACATTAGCGCCACAGAATACGGAGTCTCAATCTATTAACGAGAATTCATTATTCACTGCGTCAAAATTACAATTTTTATAACAAAAACTAGTGGATTGGGTATCCGAGTGAATCGGTTTAAAATCATAAAATTCCAACTGCAGAACGAGTGGAACATGATGTAGACCATGGCCCGATAGAGGATCAAGGCATTCTCGCAGTGAGAAATTCATGTTATCGCTAATAAAAATAAGGTCTAAAATTCTAGCTAGTTTGTTTAGAAAGTAATTTATCTGCATAAGATTAAGACTTAAAATATTATCAACTAAATAAGATTCAGAAAAGCTATTTATGTTCTTAGGAATCAGGGCAACATTATCATGGATATTGGTCCATGTAACATTACCTAAGTTAAAATCGCCAAGAATACAAAAATTACATAGCGGCCGCTTAGATACTAAGCCTGCAATATTATCTACGTGCGCTTTGTAAAGTAAGTCATCGTTAGTAGGCGGGATATAAGACGCACAAATAATAAGTTTAGAGATGCCAATAACAGATAAGCAAAGTTGGTCCAGAAGGGAATTTCCATTTTCAAGCGGCAGCACATATGAACGAAATTTCCGGTAAACAGCGATGAGAATTCTTCCTCTTCTGGAAATTCCTGTTTTCGACATATCGCGGTCTTTTTCGGTACACATTGTAGCTGTTAGGATAGAAGAATTCGCTGTCGCAGAAGTCCACATTAAGCCAGGTCTCGATAATTACAAATACGTCATATTCCAATTGTGCACTTAGATCAAAGAGAAGCTTAGACTTTGTCCTTATGCCGGAAGCATTTTGAAAATAAATATTAATATGTTTGGAGTGATTCACGTAATATGAGGATGCATTTATGACTCTTGCTGAGGCGCACCGACTCTTGGAAAAAACTGGAAAGGTCGAATTTTGACATTGGCTGGCCAAATATTCGCATTCAGCAGCTTATTATAACACCATTCGGAAACTCCCAGCTTAAGGTTGACTCTTGCAAGATCGGGCACGTTAGTATCTTTCTTTATAAGCATAAAACATACCAGAAACTTTTTATCGATAACGTCGTGATTAGAGACGTATTCCAAGATGTCATCAGTGGTCACACTGTTCGCGAAGGAAGAAATATGCAACCACGTCATTTTCGAAACCACACTTAATCCCTTATTGCTATTAGACCCAATAATAAGGGTTGCTTTAGCTTACGGCGATTATTGTTGGGATGACTTTTCCAGTTGGGGTTTTTGTTTGTAACTTGCACATTCGGAACAGACTGCATGGGTGGCGAAACAGGCGAAAGCGCGACACCATTTGCATAAGACATAGTATGAGTAGTCTGAGAATGCAGAGACAAAGCGGGCAGAGAAAGCACTGGCGGAGCAGCATAGCTTGGCGTTGTCATCACACTAGTTGTTTTAGTGTTAGCATCCCGTAAAGGCGACGAGACTGATGTGCACTCAGCGGGATTGGTAAAAGATGTTGTTTTCGTAGCTACTGCATTATTGAGAGCAGCTCCGGCAGATACAGCAGCTCCACTTAGCGACGTGGCATCAGAAGAAGAAGTAAATGACGTCGTCTTGTTCGCTGCTTCAGTGATAGCAGCTTCAGTGTTCGTAGCAGCGGCGACCGGAGACGAAGCAGCAGGTGAGGAAGAATACGCAACTGCAGGCAAAGAAAAAGCAATACGAAGAGATTTTATTTCCGATGTAAGTAACGATATGCAAGCATCACTATTATTGAGTTTAGTCTGCAGTGAAAGAGTTTGAGCATGCAGGGCATCGAACTTTTGCATTAGCTGCTTCTTATCATCGTGCAATGCATTCACCAAAGATAATACACGGGCATTCTCTCTTCTAAGGGCGGCAATTTTTTTAAAAACTGCAAGCAAGGTAATTCGCTGCTTATTATTGAGTTCGTTTGAACTTCCGTCATCGTGCAATGCATTCACCAAAGATAATACAAGGGCATTCTCACTTCTAAGGGCGGCAATTTCTTTAAAAAGAAGCAAGGTAATTTGCTTACAGCACTAAAAGGAGTTGCCTATACGCCGCTATGTCTGAATTTGGCATCCCCTCAAAACTCATACGTCTGTGTAAAATGATATTGAGCAATACCATCAGCTCCGTCAGAATTGGGAAAGACCTCTCCGAGCCGTTCGCCACAAAACGGGGTTTCAGACAGGGCGACTCCCTTTCATGTGACTTCTTTAATCTGATGTTGGAGAAGATAATAAAAGCTGCAGAACTGAACCGCTCAGGAACAATTAACTACAAGAGCGTGCAATTACTGGCTTATGCCGATGACATCGACATCATCGGCAATAAAAACCGCGAAGTCTAATCTGCCTTTTCCAAGTTGGATAGGGAAGCAAAGCGAATGGGTCTGGTGGTAAACGAGGACAAGGCGAAGTATCTCCTGTCATCAAACAAACAGTCAGCACATTCGCGCCTTGGCACCCACGTCACTGTTGACAGTTACAATTTCGAGAAAGTAGAGAATTTCGCTTACTTGCGAACCAGCATTAATACCGATAATAATGTCAGAATTGAAATCCAACGCAGAATCACTCTTGCCAACAAGTGGTACTTTGGTCTGAGTAGACAATTCAGGAGTAAAGTCCTCTCGACGTACGAAAACCACGCTCTATAAGTCACTCATCATGCCCGTGCTGGTATATGGCGCAGAAGCATGGACAATGACAACATCCGATGAGGCGGCTCTTGGAGTGTTTGAGAGAAAGATTTTGCGGAAGATTTGCGGGCCTTTACGCGTTGGCAGACGATGTAATGATGAGCTGTATGAACTT